CAGATATAAGAATTTTAAAAAGAAAAAATAATAGTAGCCAGGGGCCATTTAATGTGGTCATAAAAAGGTTCACACACCTCTCAGAAATCATTATAATACTGCAAATGTTAGACTTTATGGGGCCAGTGGTGATGCTGAAACTTCCATTTAAGCTTAGAGTATCCCCATCACTCTCTGTTTAAAGAGGCCAAGCAATATATGTTAGCAAGATTTTAGCTAGCATCGCAAGTGAAAGAAGACCTGGTTCTTAGGTGCCTTTCCCTCACAGCACTTGAGGTCCCTGTGTGGGGAGGGACCATGTCTGTTTGTTCACCCTGGCTTCCCCAAGAGGCAAGTAAACTTCATGGAGATTCTCTTTCCTCAAGCCACATGAGCTAGTCCCTCTACTCTGGACGTGCAGTGACATGGGATGTGGGAAGAAGTGAGCCTTGCTGCCACTTAGGCCTCTGAGACGCCTTTCGCTGCGTCCCACCTCAAACTGAAGCACTTAATCCACCATCATCTTGTCAGTTTCACCTGGCTGCCTAGGAATGTCTGCTCTGGTTGCTGCTGAGAAGGAAAACTTAAATTTGACTAGGAAACCTCAGTACTGCCTCAAACTCACTGGGTTTCTTATGAAATTAGATTTCTGTTCACTCTCGTATTCTTTTAGACAGAGACCTAGAGGAAAGTCCTAAATAGACACAGCAGAAGGAGCTTCGTGACCCTGGGTTCAGTTCACACCTCCCCCATCTCACCTCCTCGTCCGCTCCCTCCCTCTTCCCCATCCCTTTCCCTCTCCCTACCTGTACTGATGCTTGCGATCCTTCCCTCTCCCTCTGCTTCTCCCCCTCCTCCTTCCTCCTCTCTGGCCCTCTTCCCTCTGTCCCCTTTCCCTTTTTGCTCCTAGTCCTGCTTAGATGAAATAAATCAAATCACCTTTTTCACTCCAAGAATTAAAAGTTAGTCCATTCCAAAGGCCCTTCCCAATTACCTGAGGGCCAAAAACTTAACCTGGGCTGAATACGCATTTGCCCCCTTGGTTAGAGAGATGGGGCTATTCAGGCGCAGAGGACACTAACTTCTAAAGATTCGGGGGTATTTTAAATAAGCAGCATCATCACAGTTCCTGCTCTCCTTTGACAAATGCACACATTTGCCTGACCAGAAGTTCCCCGGGCTGCCTCGCCTCCCCCAGCCAGAGAGCAGGCCTGGAAGATGATCACAGAAGTGTTTACGAGAGGCCCGAGTTGAAGTCAAGTCCCTCCCACTGCCCTAGCAGAGGTATGGTTCTCTGGAGGCGGAGGAAGTTTAAGCTTCAAGGCCTTTCAATTGCTTTGGCCCTTCCAAGGCCCTGGGAAGAGCCCCAGCACTGTGTTCTCATGGTCCTGTGTTTTTGTAAGATTTGCAAAAGGAATACATTTTCAACACAGTTGGGTTCAGCTGCTGTTTCTTTCCACCACAGCTTCCCTTCCCTCAGACCCCTCTGCTCAGATGTGAGCATCTGGGGGGTTAAGGAGAAGCTGAGTTGGGAATGCATTTAGCTCAAATTGGGTGGGATACCTTTGTGTGGGCCACAGTCACTCCTGGGTGTGGGTAAGTCACTGCTGTCCATCCCAGGGTAGGCACGGCTGGCAGGAGTAACGCACAGGCTGAATTAAATACAAACGCGTCCTATGGTGCCTGGCATCAGAAGTCTGTGGGTAGTGGAAGAAAAACAAGGTTTGAAATGTACTGAGCCAGAAGCGACTCTGTGGAAAATTCTTCTAATTGTGAGATGTGTAAAATGTAGTTTTCATTGAGGCCTCCCCAGAATGGAAATTCTGGAATATACTCAGAGACAAAACACATACACTGATAAGAACACTGGGCATCACTTATGGGAAT